GTATCTCCTTTTCTTTCTTTTCCTTTCTTTCTTCCTTCATGTTTTTGGAGGAATTGAATGTTGTTAATTATTCCATTTTGCCCCCACTCGTGGCTCATCAGCGATACCTGCTCGTTTTGTGTTTTAGTGGCTGCTTTGGAGTCTCTGGTGTCCACCTGAGCTCCTGACGGTGTGTCCTCGGGTCCTGCTCAGGCACTCGGCGTGTGACATGGGAGCCTCGCACGGCCGACTCCCGCTTCCCTTCGGGACGGTGTGTTATTGCTAGCGGGCCTTTTATGGCTTTCACTTTACTTATTTGTTTTTTTAAAGATTTTATTTATTTTTGACAGAGAGAGAGAGAACACAAGCAGGGGAAGAAGCAGGCAGAGGGAGAGGGAGAAGCAGGCTTCCCGCCCAGCATGGAGCCCGACGCGGGACTCGATCCAGGACCCCGGGATCGTGACCTGAGCCGAAGGCAGACACTTAACGACTGAGCCACCCAGGCGCCCCATGGCTTTCACTTTAATAATCAGTGTTCTCTGAGATAAATTTAAAATGAGACAAGGTGTCTGTTTTATTTGCCTTGACGCCCGCCCTCCCACACTGGCTTCTCATGTAGATCCACATTTCCTTTTACGGATTTTTTTGACCTGACAGATTTCTTGTAATGGTTCCTGGGCGGCACATCTGGCTGGGACGGAGTCTCTCAGCTTTTTTGTCTAAAATATATCCTTACTTTTCTTCTATTTTTGAAATATATTTCTGCTGGGTATGAAATTCTGGTTGAAAGGTTTTTTTCCCCTTTTGGCACTTTGCTGCTGGTGCTGCCGCGTGTTGGGGCGAAGCGTCCCCCGGATCCCGCTCTGTGGTGGCATCGTGCGCCTCTGGCCCCTCCGGGAGTGTCCTGTTCTCCCGCAGGCTTCCTGCAGTTTGGACTACTGTGCCCTGGGCTCTGAAGTTTTAGTGTTTATTCTGTTTGGGACTTTATGAAATTCTCTATGAAACTCTCAGTTTTTAATTGCGTAAAATTTGGATACTTTTGGTCCTTATTTCTTGAACTTCTCCTTGTTTGTTTGTGGCCCGTCTGTGGCTCCCCTTCCCCTGCCGGGCTGCTGAGTGTTGCCCTGAGGTCCCCGTGGCTCGGCCACTGTGCTCTCCTCGAATCCAGTCCCCTGTGCCCTGCAGCGTCGCATCTGCTGCCAACCCCAAGCAGGGGGGCCTTCACAAGGGCCTCTGCGGCCTTTCCGCGTGTTCGGTCTCTCCTTGCTGGGTAGACGCACCCCTTCGTGTCCCTCAGTGCTGTTGTAACGTTGACGAATGCTCTTCTCCACTAACGTCATCTCTCTCGTTTCTGGGTCTGATTTTATGTTGGCTGATGTTTCTCATGGTTAGGGGTCACATATGTGCTTCTGCTTCTCCGTATGTCCAGTAAGTTTTAAAATTGTGAATTTGGGTGCTTTTGTGCTGGGTTTGGTTGTTTTACTTGAGGAGGATTAGACTTTGTTCCAGGGGCAGTGAACTTACTTGTGGGTCACTGTGCTCTCTTAGGGCTTGTGATAAACATCTTTTAGGGCACTTCTGAAGTAGCTGCCACCGTGACATTTACTCCCCACCCTCCGGAGGTGCAGCCTGTGTAGTCACTGCTAGACGCTGCGGGTGCTCAGAGTGCCTCTCCTTCTCCTGCCGCTGACTCACACCGACCCTGCCGGGTGAGGAGGTGCCTGCAGCTCCCTCGTGACCCCTGTGTCCTAAGCTGAGGGGCATCTCTCCCCGTGCAGGCACAGACATGGGTTTGGCTGGAGACCAGGGGACGGGACGGGCTCCTGGAGCCCCTTCTGCCTCATCGTCTTCCCTCTGTCTCCTGCCCCCAGGGCAGCTGCTGGACCTGCCAGGCCCCGGGGTCCACCTCCGGACCCAGCGACGCCGGCCCCGCTCCGGCCCGCCCTCCCTGCTCCGCGGTCTGGCCTTGCTCCTGGGAAACGGCCAGGGTGATGCTTTCCCAGGGCTGTGATGGAGTTTGTACGGGATCAGAACATCATTTTCCATCTTTCATGCAGTTTTAGCCATTTTCAGGGGATGGTAATCCTGTTTCCTTACGACAGAAGCTAAAGTACTATCAGGCACCCTGCACTGTGATTCTAGGAGAAGTTGGCTTATTTTTTCTGGTCTTAATTTCTGTATTCCGTTGGCCAGCACATACCTCTGACCTGAGAGTTGCTCCACATGACCCATAGCTGACCCGCCACTGACCACAGTGACCTTTTTGCGTCTTCCCTTGCCTGTTTCTCCTCTGTGTCTCCTGTGCTGGTGGCTGGCCCCCTCCCATCCCAGTCGTGCCCACTGGACATCTGGGCGTAAGGAACATGATGTCCTCCCTCTCCCTCCGCTCCTGCAAGTTCAGCCTCCCACAGCCCTACCGCCTCTTCCCCGAGGCTCTGACCTCATCGTCCTGCCCCTGCCCGCCTGGATCCTGTCCCTGTGTGGGTCCCCTGTCCTCTGCACGGCTGCGTGCAGAGACCCTGCTAGTGTCGTGTGGTCACTGTCTTACTGCCCGCCCGGTCTGACCAGCAGGCCGCTTGGGTGTGAAGTCTGGGCGCACAGTTCTGGGGAGCCCGACCCCCCAGCGGCCCCAGCAGCGTGTTTGTGGACGTGGGCATCTGTCGGGTTTCCGGCCTCTCCCTGTGGTAGTAAGAAGGGGTTAAGCCTCAGACTCCTCCTGCCGCCACCAGGGCTCCCCCCAGCTGTGGCTCCGTCCCTTTGCGGGTACCCGTGGTCGGAGGTCACACCCCACGGCATCCCAGCAGGGAAGGGGGTGAGGCTGTCCCAGGCCAGCAGCTTCCTTGGAAGAACACGAGGGGAAACAGCACTTGGACGCTCTAACTCCAGGTGAGAATTGGGTCTCGTGGGCCCTCTGGATGCAGGGGAGTGTCTGAGCTGCATGGCCAGGTGCCAGGACTGAGGAGACACCGGATCCTAGGGGACAGACCTCAGCCGGCATTTCCGGGCATCGTCTCTGCTGAGGGGGGAGCACCCACGGCCTCCCTCAGACTTCCGTGGGGGCGGAAGGCTGTGTGGGTGGTGGCCTTGCTGGCCTTGCTGCTGGGCTGGGACATTTGCACCCCCCACGCCCCGTGGGTCTGCAGTATGGCTGACAGCCCCTGCCCCGGTTTCCACGCCCACCCACAGCATCCTTGGGGTGCACCAGACCCCCTGGGCCTGGTGGCGGTGGCATCGTAGACGGCTGCACCTGCTGCTGTGGCCGGGCTGGCACACCCACGGCCGCTGTGCCGGGGGGCCTCCCAGGCTGCTCTCAGGCACCTTCCCCCCACACCGCAGCCAGTAAGGGGCCTGCTCCCGGAGGGCCCTGCACGGCCTGGTGCTTGGAGCAGGGGCTGGAGAGCTGCATCTGCATCTCCCCCACTGAGACCATCAGCCGCCCTGCCCTGCGGGGTGTAGCTCTCCACCTTTGTAAAGGCTGCCATCCCTGGCCCCACCTCTGCCCTCTCCTGGGCCACTTTCTCCACCTCTCTGAGCTCAGCTGCTTCAGCCCTGGATCTGAGACAGAATGTCTCAAAGCCAGTAAGCCGGTGTCATCTGGAAAGATGCACACCCCATGGGGTCAGGAGTACACAGGGTCCTGGGCGGGGGGGACCCAGGGCTGGCCGGCAGGGAGAGCCCGTGGATGGGCTTCCAGAGACGTCCAGAGAAAGACAGCTTTGAGAAGGGAGGGTGGGTGGCATGTGCCCCAATGTAACTGGCTTCCAGAATCATCTACACACAGACTTGGAGGATAAGAAAGATTCTTGGAGCCACGTACTTCCTCTTCTCATTTCACACTGAGGCCAGGGGCCGGGAGTACATAGAAAAACTCCCACCAGCCTCCCCATTGCGTAGGTGAGGCTGTGGCTCCCCACTCCGGTCCAGGCCGCTGCCCCCTCCGCCCCCTGACCCTTGTCATCATGGACAAATCCCTGTCGATTGCCTGGAGACCTGTCCAGGTCTGGCCCATCCAGGCTGAGGTGCCTGCTTTCCTGGGGGCCGGGGGTGGGCGGTGTAGACACGCATGTGAGTCCTTCCTCTTTGTGGCTCTGTCACGTGAAGGGTCCTGTGTATTCTGTTGGTGGCCAGTGGCACCCTTTCCGGGTTCTGATATGAAGCCACTGTGAGCGTCTTGCACCAGCTTCTTGTGGGCCTCTTTGTGTTTCTCTGCGTGGATACCTAGGGGGCCGTGGCCAGGCCACGGGGTGGGCAGAGCCACAGGAAGGGCAGGGCCATGTCCTTTAAGGGAGGCAGACCTTGCTGTTGCGGCCACATGTGTGGCCTTCCCATCCCTCCAGGACTTGGTGGTGTCCACACAATGTTCAGTAGAGTTTTTTAAGTTAAAATTCACACAACGTAAAATTTGCCGTGTTAACCATCTTAAAATGTACACTTCAGTGGTTTTTAATATCTGCAACGGTGTGTGCAGCCATCACCACGAATAATCCGGAACCTTCTATCATCCCCAAAGAAACTGCATAGCCATTAGCAGTCATCCTGTCCCCTGGCCCAGCCCCTGGCCACCGTGGATCTGCTTTCTATCCCCGTGGATCTGGACACTTCATGTCCGTGGAACCACATGGCACGAGGCCCGTGCCCACCTCCTTCGCCGGCACATTTTAGAGGTTTAGCTGTGTGGTGTGTCGTTGTCGGGGCATGGACCCTGCTGCTTTAGCGCCAGTTGCTGGCTGTTGGGTCCTTTCTGTCCTGTGACTTGTAAGTCTGCAGTGACCACACGCACATGTGTGCAGGCGCTCATGTGGGACCGGGTTCTTGTTTCTCTCGGGTGTGCCGGTGCAGGGGTGCTGGGGCCTTTCTGAGGGGCTGCCCCCTACTTTCCTCCCTTTCTTATGGCTCTGCGTGCCCCGGGGTGGGCTTGGCGTTCCATCCCTGATGCTCTGGGTGACCCCAGGCTGGGAGGGTGTGACTGCTCAGAGCAGGCAGCTCCATGAATGTGTGTGCGCCCCTCTGCTGTCTTCCAGCCACCCAGGTGGACCCAAGTGACCTCCAGGAGCTGTTCCAGCAGACGTCGGCCAGCGTCTTCCGAATCAACTGCAATGGTGAGTCTGTGCCAGGCCCGGTCTCACTCCCACCTGACCTGGCCATCTTGGGCTACTGAGCATGGCACAGGAGGTCGAGGTGACATGGGTGGTGGGCAGGCCAGTGGCCATCCTCTTACTCAGCCACTTTGCAGCCCAGGAGAGCACTGTGGTCTCAGGGCAGGGTGGGGGTGGCCTGTGTGTCCACTGTTCCCTGCAATCTGGACAAGTGCCCCCTGGGAAGGGGTGCCTCAAAGCCTCCCTCTGACTGGCCGCACGGGCTGCCTCACAGGTCGCCGGGCTCGGGAGTGAGAGCCCTGTCTCACCCCACCCTTAGCTCCTGTAGGCCAGGGGGTGGGGGGTGGCTCGCCATACCCGGTGGGCCAGGGTCGGTGTTTGCCTCTGAGCCCTGAGCTCTGCCGGGTCAGCAGGAGGGTGCTGACCAGGAGAGGAGAAGAAGCCGCTTCTCCAGGCCTAGGGTGAGGCCCCCAGAGGCAGCTCCCTAGGGCTGGGAGCCTGTGGACCTGTGCCTGAAGGGCTGGGGAGAGGGCTGTGCCTGGGGTGCTCTGCTGGGGGCATGACTGGCCGATGTGGGGCTGGGGCTGGGCTGTGGCAGCAACTGTCCTGGACCTGGCTGCTCATGGTCACTGTGGTCTCCTTGGCCTCAGCCCCCATGTCCTTGGGCTCCTTACCCTATCTCTGCTGGGGGTGGGGAATGTGCCCTGGAGTCTGGGGATCAGCCGGTGGGGGTCCTTCTGCTCCTGATGCCCATCCCTTTCTCTTGGCAGTGACCTCCTTGGAGCAGAGCCTCCAGTCCCTGGGGACACCGAATGACACGCAGGAGCTGAGGGAGAGCCTGTGAGTGTGTGAGCGTGCGCATGCCCGTGGGTGTGCACAGGTGTGCCCTGCACCCACTTGTGTGCCTGCCTGTCCACATACCAGCCCCACACCTGCCGGGACCACCTGCACGCCCCACATAGCCAAGGGCCAGCCGAGCTTGTGCTCGAAGCCTGAGGCTGAGCTCCCACCCAGCGTCCCCCTCCATGGGGCACACCCATGCATGCTGGTGTCTGCTCAGGTGGCAGACATGCGTCTGCTTGCGTTCTTTTTGGCCCAAATGTGTGTGTCACAGACCAGAGCTCACTGATGGGGCCTGCACATGTGTGAACGCACCTGTGGACACACCAGGTGACATGGGTGCGCCGTGTGCACAGGCAGCTTGCAGGTGGTGGACATACAGGCTGGGTTGGAGTGGGGCTGTGTGGTTTGGTTCTGCCCCTGTGGGGGTGGGGGTCCTGTTGGGCTTTCCTTTTGGGGTTGCCTAGGATGAGGCTGTGCTCCTCACAGAAAGGCTTCTCAGGAGCTGGGTCTATGGGGAGCGAGAAAGGCGATTTCTGCAGGGGGGCCAGCCTGGCTGGCATGGGGCAGGGGGCAGCTCTGTTTACGCCCTGCCACCCAGGGCCTGGTGACACTTCATGAGGAAGCCGTGTGGTCCCAGCATGACCCGGGTGGGGGAGCACTGAGGGGGAGCCTGAGACCTGCATTTCCACCCTCGTTCCCTTTGCCACCTCCTTGCCAGGGGACCCTGGGTTGGTCGAGCCTGAGCCTCCTGCCTGGGAAGGACGATGGTGTGGGGCGGTGGACCAAATGTGCTCTGAGGGGTGTGGGCTGTGGCCAAGACCGCATGTCTCTTCTTGGCATTGATGCCTGTTGGAGAGGCCACAGCCCTTCTCCATCTATTTATCCATCACCCTGTCCGTCTGTGTGTCCATCCAGCCACCCACCCGTGCTTTCATCCCCTTACTCGTATGCCCACCCACCTGTCCATCTACCCACCTGGACATCCATCTACCCACCCGCCTACCCACCCGCCTGCCTGTCCAGCCACCACCTACCCACCCATCCATCCATCCACCCCCCATGTGTTGGTTCATCCATTCATCCCACCCACTATCCGTCCATCCCTCTTCCCTCCTGTCCATCCGTACAGGCTAGCTGGGACCACTTCTGCCGAGTTTGGGGGTCCAGAACTTAAGGCAACTGAGGGTCCTTTGCAGGTTTTATGTACGATTCTGTTTTTAATTATTTTTTTTTCTTTTTTTAAAATAACATATTGTTTTCTGATTGTGAAAGTAGCATATGTTCATTATAGGAAATGTGGCCACACAGGATGTCTGAGGAGGCACTGTTAACATTTCGGTATTTCCTGCCAGCCTCTTGTCAAGTCCTTATGCATTTTGCAGAATTGGATTTCAGTGAATAATGTTCCGGATCCCGCTTTTTACGGTTAGGAATCTGGGGTGCGTGTGCCCTTATTACACACTAGAAACATGCTCTTCAGAGCTGCGGAGGATACTGTTGAATCTGGGTAATTATCGAGCTGAGACTCTGAGCCGGATCTTCGGGCTCTTCCCATTTCTTAGTCCCTGGGAACAGTGCTGTGGTGGATCCTTCTATTCATGCCTGTTTCCAGGTTGGGTCCCTGGAGCGGTGTCCCCCGGGTTGAGCGATTGGCATTTTCAGGGCCCTGGCCCCTGAACGCGTTTCCAGGGCTGCCTTGCCCAGCTGGCTGGAGGCTGGTGTCACCGGCGCGGGTCTGGAGAGGAGAGCTGGCTCCTGCACCTTCCTGCCTGATGCCGGGCCTGCCCGTGTGATGGAGTGTGGTTGGGACCACTGCCCCCGTTCCTGCCCTGTCGACCTCAGCTTTCAGATCCGGCAACTCTGGCTTTGGCACCTTCCTGTCCCCCCCCAGCCAGAACCCCGTTCCCACCAGAGCCCCTCTGCTTGCAGGGTAGCTCCTCACCAGGCTGCAGGCCTCAGGCCTTCCAGGACCCCTTTCATGGTGGAATTTGTGCATATCATGGATTGTTAGCATTTTTAAATGACTGAGGCCAGTGTAAGCTGCCAACTCTGGCTTTTCTCCATGTTGGCAGTCAGTGGCTTTTTTATTTTGTCAAGGAAGGACTGAAAAATGTTCACTATCATCCATTATTGCCCTTATTTTACAGAAGATAAGGCATTTCAGTATGACAGAAGCGGGTGGGCTCTGATCTCGGGAGAGAGGACATTCCTTCAAGATGAATACATCTAGGGCCTAAGATCCTCACGGAGTTGAGCCTGATCTTCTCGCCTTGCACAGGACACGTGTGGGCTTTGGCATTTGTGTCAGGATTCTGAGGGGACCCCGCCTTGGGCGCCATTATGGGTTCCCCGGTTGGCTGAGGTAGCCAGGTTGGAGAACTCTCTCCCCTGTGGAGTGAAGCTCAGTGGCCGCGGGACCTTGTCTATCTGTCTGTCTCTTGGAGCTGTCACCCTGCCTGCTGTGGAACGGAAGGATAGGTGTTCCAGGAGCCCTGTGTGAGCAGTGTGCCTGTGGCCAGGGGCCTGTCCCCTCAGCCTCATGAACGTGCTGTGGGACAGCGCTGGCTCCAGTCTGTAGGGCCCTGGGCACAGCATCAGGGTGATGGGGCTCAGCCCTCACCTGGCTGTTGTTGGGCTGTGTACACAGCAGGCAGAGAGGCTCCTTCTGGGCTGGACGGGGACGGCTCCCCAGCTCTGGCGCTCCGGTGGTCCCAGCTCCTCCGAGCGGGCATGGGGCTGGACCGCACTGCCTGCCTCTCACAGCGTGCTTGAGTCCCGTGGTGGTCAAAGTGCAGACAAGCTCTCCCCTGTCTGTCTGTTGCTTTGGCATCTGTGAAGGGGCCTGTGGGCTTCGGCCTCACTAAGGCAGAGGGAGGGCCCGCATGGGGCCTGGGAGACACCGGGAGAGGGGTCATGGGGGTACTGGAGGCTGCAGTGGGCTAGGTGCCTCGAACCAGGACCGGTGGACCTTGGGGGCAGAAAGCAGAGGCGGGTGGGTGGTCCTGCCCGGGGTGTGTGGGGGTGCATGCCAGCCCCTCCCCTCTCACTTCTCCACCTTCACGTGGGCCATCTCTTCCTCTAGTGCCTGCCCAGTGCCACCTCCCTCAGGGGCTGCTCCTCAGCTCCCTCCACCAGAAACACCTTGACTGCTGTATCCTGCGTCCGGGGTGACAGACAGCCCCAGGGGCAATGTTTGGGAACATGTCTGGAGGCCCATGAAGCAGGGGGGTGCGTGGGCGATCCTGCTGTCCAGCATGGCCTGCCTCTTCTACTCCAGAGCGCCTCCCTTAGTGTGCCCCACCCAGCGCCCCACGGTGGCCTCCCCCCATCCCCCACCACACTCCCTGGCACCCCACCGTGTCTGTAGCCTGGTGCCCTGGCCAGCTCAGCCCTGGAGCCATGTGCTGAGAGACTGGGCAGTAGGGCATGGGGGGGGCCAGCCTGTCCCCTCCTGGCTGTGTGACATGCAGTGTGACCCGGGTGTCCCGGTCTTTGACGTGAGGACCCAGACCCTTCCAGCGGTGTCCTGTGGGAAGGAGGCAGTGATGGAGTCCGTGCCTGGTGCTGGGCTCAGCCCCGCAGAGATTCAGTCAGATCTTGCTGCAGTGGGAGGACGGCCCAGAGCAGGGGTGCAGGTGGAGGGAGCCGTGGGGGATGGAGAATGGCCTAAGAGGGTAGCAGTGCTTCTTGAAGGGTATGGCGGCTGCCTGGGCCCTCAGCTCAGGAGCTCTGCTGCGGTCCCCAGAGCCCCGAGACCCCCCTGCCCTGTGTTGCTGGAGGGTGGCCTGGCAGGGGGGGTGGGGTGGGGTGGGGAGCAGAGCTCTGCTTGGAGTCCTGTGTGTTGGCGCTTGCTGATCACCGGGTGTGTGATGGGGCCCCTGCCCGGAGGCTGGACTGGACGGGGCAGGTGTACCTGGGGGAGGGTGGGTGGTCTCGAGCCCTGACCCGTCCTCAGGGGGCCGTGGCAGTGCCTCCTCCTCCTAGTGACCGGCCTCACCCACCTGCCTCACAGGGGTGCGGGTCCTCATTTGACAATGGAGGCCAGGTACCTGGGAGGCTGCCCCTGCCCCCATGCGGTGCTGAAGGCCTAGTCCTGTCCCTGGAGCCGGTCTGCGGGTCGCTCCTGCCGTCGGGACTCCTGTTCTCCATTCTCGCCCAACCCGATGGCACCCCTCCCTCTCCCTGGTTTGCAACGTGGGGGTGAGTCTGTGTTCACAAACGGGGCTTCCAGCCTGGAGAAGGGAGGTGACCACCTGGTGTCCCACTCCTAGGGTGGGACACGGGACGGTCTCCCTGGGACGTTCTGACCGTCTCAGGTTTGTGGGGGCTGCTGCATGTGTGTCCTCGCACTTGACCCTGTGCAGGTCGAGGTGGCCCCATGTGGGGTCCCACGCGGGGATGTGTGTGAGAGGTGTCTGCTCAGGGTCTGCCCGATGCCGCCTGGGGCCTAGGGCTGAGGCCTGGGGTGGGGGGCAGGGTGGAGGCCCCGGTGGGTGGTTGTGGGGGCAGGGCAGAGGCCCTGGTGGCGGGATAGGGCCCTGGGGTGCCCCTGGCTCCGAGTGGGCAGCACCTTCCTCCCCTTGGCAGGATTTGTGTCCGGATCGGCTCCGAGGTGATCAGGGAGGCCTAGATCACGCTAATCCAGCACTGTATGGGGCTGAGGCTCTTGGAGGGGCCTAGTGCTGACAGCCCAGGGCTGCTGTGGAGGCACCGGGCAGGCTCTGTCTTCCTCCTCCCAGAGCTCAGACCAGCTGGATCTGGCGCGCCACGTGAGCTGCTCACTCCAGCCCGGTCACACATGCACGTGGCTGCAGAGACAGAGCTGGAATTTGCTTAAGAACTGGGGTTGGGGGGACACACTTCCAGCCCTCGCTCTGTCCTCTGCTGTCAGAAGTCGTCCCCGGTGGCATCGGCCCCCATCATCTGGGCTGACCTGAGATCTGCCGCTGACTCCTCGGAGCCGCCTCGGGGTCCGGGGCTGCCCCGACTCCGTCAGA